TGAGCGTGCCCCGCCTGCCGCTCGGTTGGGGCAAGCACAGCAACACCAGGCCCAGCCTGCCGGGTGGCGTGGTCCATGGCAGCTGAACTGCAGCGCTGGAAGCCACGGGGCTGGCCATGGGTTCGGATCCCCGGGGCACCTTGAAAACACACTGGGCAGAGGCATGTGCCCAGGGCCCCGAGGAACGAGGGGAGGGGAGGGGTCCCCGCGTGGTGAGACCCGGTCATGAGCCCGTCCCCGGCCCTCTGGCCCTCTGGCCCTCTGGCCCAGGCATGCTCGCGAGCCGGAGTAAACTAAACTCAGAGATACAAGCGAGAGTAAAGGCAGGCGCTGGGCGAGCCTGGACAGTACCTTTATCCTATGGTGCTCCACGAACTCCCCGTAGGAGTTGACGTAGGCCACGCCCTTCTCCCGCAGGGACAGCCGGTGGCCCCAGTTGAGGGAGCCGATGTGGTTCTGAACTGCCTCCGTCATTCTCTCCCAGCTGTGCTTCACTGGAAGGGTCGCGGAAGGGCAGGGTCAGCGTGCTCTCCAGGTGGGCGCCCTCTCCCCTCCTCACACTGGCCTGCCTCCACCTGCCCTGCTTCCTGTTACAGGCGCAGTCCACAGAGGGCTATGCGCACCACGGTGAGGCAGGACGGGCCCTTTAGCACCCCCCCGCTCTGAGGGGCCTGCATCCCTTGGCTGCCGGGACGGGAAGGCCTCAAGCCCACGAGGGCACACTCCCAGACTGGCCTGGTTCCACTGGCTCGGCCCCCTGGGTCCTGAGATCATCCAGGAGGTCTCACGGCGAGGCCTTTTAACATGGGGACACTCAGTGCTGCCAGCCCTCCATGGGACATCCCCACTGGCACTGCAGTGGGGTTCGATGGTGGGGATGCCACACCGTCCCGTCTCTCCAGGTGGGACCCCTCTCACCAGTCACCCTGTCTGCTGGGTCGGTCCCAGGGCGCCCCAGGCCTGCACAACTCCATACTCGTGTGGAACACCAAGGCCAGCCTGGGCCCCCGTCCCGCCCTAGGCAAGGTCCCCAACCTAGAGGCTCACCTGTCAGCCCCCCACCAGGCATGCGGGGTGCGCCGAGCAGGAGAGGAGAGCCGGCAGGTAGCAGGCAGGCCTGCCAGGACACATTCCCGGCCCTTCCCACTCAGCGGCCTGGAGTGGCCCTCCTTACGGTGTCACCCCCTCCACAGCCAGGATCCAGGGAGGGCGACGGTGCAGGGGGAGAGCAGTCCCCCAGGTAGTCTCTCCTCCAGCACCCCACCCCATCAGCCGGCCCGCAGTCTCCCCCGGGTACCCCACCCCATCGGCCGGCCCGCAGTCTCCCCCGGCACTCCACCCCATCGGCCGGCCGCACACTGTAGCTGCGTTCTGAAACGTGACCGCGGTTTTACCAGCTCTGAGGGGCTCGCCTGCTGACGTCTGGGCCCTGCTCGCCGCTCACTTTCTCCTGGTTAAGCTCTGCCTGCCTGGTACCTGTGGCCTGGCTTTTCTTTGCATTTTCTCAGCTAGTTAAAAACCCCCCGTCTACCTGAAACTCTAAATAGGAAAATAATAAGGTTTCAAAACTCCATATTTTCGCCAATGATCTCCTCTGGTTTTAGGAATGCATCTTAAAAGCAGCAAAAGAGGGCCAGCAGGTGGCGTGGTGGCTAAGGCACTGGGCTTCCATATGCTCGACTGCAGTTCAAGTCCTGGACAGGGAAGCTTGAAAATCATAGTAGGGGTGTGTGTGCCCCCAAAGCCCCAGGAGGAGAAAGGGGAAGGGCCTGTGGGAGGGCCACCCCCTGGGGAGGATGTCTCACTTTCCCTGTCTCTGCTGAGTGCACATGCGCTATAGCAAACCCTGAAGAACAGGACAGATGAACGGGAGCGTCTAAAACACCCTCCCAGAGCGAGACTGTGCTTCCCTCCTCTGCAACCCGGCCCGCCGTACCGCTGGCTCCTCACCAGTTCTCCTAAGTGGACCCGAGCCCGCTCTGGGGGACCCAGACGCTCTACGAAGGGGCCTGAGCCCGCTCTTGGGGGACCCAGACGCTCTACGGAGGGGCCTGAGCCCTCCTATGGGGAAGGACCCAGACACTCTACAGAGGGGCCTGAGCTCACTCTAGGGGGGACCCAGATGCTCTACGGAGGGGCCTGAGCCCACTC